AAAATGTGAAACAGTCACAGAGATTTCATAAACAGTTATAGTGAGATAAATGAACAAATTATAGAATGCTACAAAATGTGAAACAGTCAGACATTTCATAAACAGTTATATTGAGATGAGTGAACAAATTATAAAATGCTACAAAATGTGAAACAGTCACAGACATTTCATAAACAGTTGGACGAATGCACAAATTATAGAATGCTACGAAATGTTAAACAGTCACAGAGATGTCATAAACAGTTATAGTGAGATAAATGAACAAATTATAGAATTATTTAAAAAAAAAAAAAACTTCTCTAGCACATGCTGCGAAGAATAAAAATAAATAATCCAGAAAACTATAGAGTATATTTAGGCAATACAGAGAGTTACTATTAAGCATGGAAGATAAAATGCCTTTACAAATCACTACAGTAAGTCCAAACTCAGCAAGTAAAACAGAATTTAACAAAGAGTGCTCCTGAATCTCACAGCAAAACTTTACAGCTGCAGAATAAGCAGAGGCAATCACTGATATTACTGAAACAGCCAGGAACAGGTGTCTGATGTCTTTGTTACAGCTACCCACAAACTTGTGTAGTTATTGAGCCTGTTAAGTTTCTTTTTTTATCTGTTCTACTGCTTTTGCCCTGAAGCGTCATGTAGATGAGATACATGTAGAATCAGCAGTGGCAATCACTGATAACACAAAAACAGATGGGAACAGGTTTTTGATGTCTTTGTTATAGCTACCCACAAACTTGTGTAGTTATTGAGCCTGTTAAGTTTCTTTTCTTATCTGTTCTACTGCTTTTGCCCTGAACATCATGTAGATGAGATACATGTAGAATGCTGGCACGTAATACTAAAACAGTGTTATGTTTTGCAAGTGATTTAAAGCCTGTTATAGCTGGGTGAGAAACTGATGCCTTAAGAGATGTAGATATTGCGTACCACTAGGAAAAAGCCCTGGTCCTAGGGCTCCCAAGTTGACCTAGCCTTAAATGATACTAGGAAATGTCCCAGCAAGCAAAGGCAGCTGGTGGGGATGTGTGTTTTTTTTTTTTTCTGCAGACCCACTGCCCTCATAAAAAGCATGTTGTAAAAGATAGGTAATTAAGGATGTTTCCTTTAAAGTCACAGTGCATCTGCTTGAGAGGCAAGGGGTAACCAGTCTGTATAAAAATAAGCCAGATCTGTAAAATGGATAATGCACACAAAACTCAAGTTCTGGAACAAGCTCAAAGACCAGAAGTGGATGAACAACCAAAACTTTCCACCAGAGATTACAACCAGTAAATGCAAAGAAAAAGAAGAAGAATGAGACAGTTGTGTTTCAGAAGAGCATGAGTATGAACTGAGTAAATGTGAGATTACAAACATACATAACATGCTGACTAGTGCACATGAGTAATCTCCTGTCATTTACAGTGCATTGTTCAATACTTAAAGAGTTAACATATAACCTAAAATCAGAATGTAACAAGATGGGAGACAAATTGTGTCTAAAAAAATTAATGTTAACACATCCCTAACATCAGCATACAACAAGATGGAAGACAAATTATGTCTCAAAAATTATTGTTTGCTAACGCGTCCCTAACAACAGCATATAGCAAGATGGGAGACAAATTCTGTCTCAAAAATTAATGTTTGTTAACGCATCCCTAACATCAGAATGTAGCATGATGGGAGGCAAACTGTGTCTCAAAATTAATGTTTGTTAACACATCCCTAACATCAGCATACGGCAAGATGGGAGACAAATTCTGTCTCAAAAATTATTGTTTGTTAACGCATCCCTAACATCAGAATGTAGCAAGATGGGAGTCAAGCTGTGTCACAAAATTAATGTTTGTTAACACATCCCTAACATTAGCATGCAGCAAGAAGGGAGACAAATTTTGTTTCAAAAATTAATATGTAGTAAAGATGTGTTGGCCTAAAGACTCATATATCACAGTGTCAAGGTCAATGGACAAAATATAACCAATATTTTATTTGGCATGAATGTGGAAGAATATTTTTAACAAAACAAATCTGAATTCTAAAAAGACTGTAAAATTAATGTCTTTAATTATTTAAACTTTCACAATCAAATTATATAAACTGCAATTATAAAATTAAGAACGTTTCACAACAGATTTCATCCTTTACGTCCTTCTTAAGACGTAATTTTTTGTTATTTGAAACTCTTCCAGGGGCAATCAGGTCAATTATGGCCAAATGTCTGAAACCTCTCCAATCCTCATCCGCATGGTGGCACTTTGTGTCATCGGTGTTAAAAAAGAACAATCCAATCCAATCCACAACAGATTATGTAAATTGTGTTACACGATCACAAAATTTCACAACACAGTTTCATTGGAGATCCTTCCCTTTTACAGCAGTCACAGTAATTCTGCTGATTTTCATACAATAAAAACAAAACAAAACTGTTCAATTTGCCATTTAGAGCTCATCTTTCAAGCTGGTTAAAAAAGTAGAGAAAAACAGAATTAAAAATTTTTTTGCTTTCTCAACAGATGTCCACTAAAAAAATTGTATCAAATATTCTTCCCTTTGGCTACAGACCTCTATTAAAACAATTTTAGTAATAAGTTCTTCACTGTCACAACAGAACTCTACTAAAACAACGAAGTTCTTCACTTTTGTATTTGAGCTCTACTAAAATGAATTTAACAGAAAATTCTTTACTTCCACAACAGAACTCTACTAAGATGTGGACAAAGATGACAACATCAATGGTGCACAAACTCGGCTGGTGGGTAATAATGAGTTAGTCAGTTAGTTAATCGAAAGATTATCCTCACTGCACAGCAGACAAGTCCATAAGCAATCGGATCCCATCTTCGGCGTGTGGTGACTGATAACACCAGTTCTTATGGTAATAAAGAGTGTCTGGAACTAACACAATTATGTGACCTGGGAATAAAGCCTAGTGAAGCACATCTATGGCTTATGTCAGGATAGGAGACATAACCAACTCCTCATGGAAATAAGTAGCAGTACCTTAGGGTGGCTGCTGCATTGGAGGCCTAAGCACACAGGGGAATGACCAATATGGTGATGTTAACTCTTATAATAAATCATATTCTAAATCATTGTTTAAAAAAACATTATTCAGTCAATTAAAAATATTTTAGTAAAACATTCTACACTTTCAAAACAGAGCACTATTAAAATAATTTTAGAAAAACATTCTTCACTTTCACATAAGAGCTCTACTAAAGCAGTTTTATTGACAGATCTCCTCATCCCAACAGATGTGGTAATTTTGTTGCAAGATTATTAAATCACCCATACTGATATTAAAAGAACTGTCTTAAATGTTAAACTACAGAAGTTTACAAAGAATAATAAAGTACAGGTTTCATGAATTTCATACAGATTTTCACATATTTTACTTTTCAAAATTAGTATTAGTATTATTATAATTATGTTCAAATTTTTTAGATTTCAACTTTTGATAATGCAGTTACATAATAAATTATTTTCTTAAATTTGCTGTAGTTCCTTAATATTTTCTGATATAATATTTATATATATACACACACACACACACACACACACATACATATTTTTGTATTTGGTCATCTAAACAGTTAAAACACAGAGTGCCTTGACTGTTGCATCGTATTTCTGTATTTAAATTATTTTCTAAACAGGTTCTCAAAACAGAAAAATTTAACTCTTACAACACATCTGCTATGCTTTCTCTGACGATTTGTGTCCTCACAGCAATAGTTTGAATAAATGTTTTAGTTCTTTTAGTAATAACTTCTAATTTCTCTTCTTATTGTTTCTATAAGCCAGATTTAATCCACAGCTGCTTGCTAGGCCTAATACAAATTATGTATTTAGCCAAATGGATCCCGCACCACCTGGCGAGGCAGAGCTCTGTTTGCCTGAGACTTCGCAGCCTCAGTTTCACAGTGTGCCCAGCTTGGTCTATGTATGCCTCTAGTAATGGTTCTGTAAAAATCTGCCTGTATGCTTTTAGCAACAGTTGAGTTAAAATCTGTCTGCTTTTAGCAATGGTTTTATAACAGTATGCTGGTAATGCCTATCTAATTTTATGATTCTCAACTTCCTCAACACCTTTAGTAATAGCTTCTTTGTTAATCTATGTGCATCCTTTTAGTAACGGTTTATATACCAATCTGTTGGTATCATTTTAATAATGGTTTCTATACTAATCTGTATTTATCTCTTTAGGAGTGATTTCTATACTAATATGTTTGTATCTTTTCATGAATGGTTTCTTTACTAATCTGTTTATATCTCTTTAGTATTGGTATTATACACTAATCTGTTTTTGTCTCTTTAGGAATGGTTTCTATACTCTTTTTTTAGTATTGGTATTATACACTAATCTGTTTTTGTCTCATTAGGAATGGTTTCTATACTAATCTGTTTTTATCTCTTTAGTATTGGTATTATACACTAATCTGTTTTTGTCTCTTTAGGAATGGTCTCTATACTAATCTGTTTTTATCTCTTTAAGAATGGTTTCTATACTAATGTTATAATCTCTTCTTTAACGGTTTATATACTAATCTGTTTTAAATCCTTATGAATGGTTTCTATACTGATCTGCTTGTATCCTTAAGGTAATTGTTTCTTTGACAATCTGGATGTGTCCCTGCATCAATTGTTTGTATAAATATTGTTATAATGACAGCTTCTATAACTACTGTATCCTTTTTTTGTAATGCTTTCCTTAATGATCTTTTTGTATGCTTTTCATAATGGTTTTTACAACAATGTGTTTGTTTGCTTGTAAAAATGATTTTTATAACAATCTGTTTGGATATTTTAAACAATTATTTCTTTTAAAAAAACTGCCTCCGTCCTTACAGACAGTTTTCTACAATATACATAAACGTTATCAGCCTAACAAGGATAAAGATGGATCTCAGTAGAAAAATATCAAACAGACACATACTTTACCTTTCAAACACAATGTATAAAAATGAAAGAATCTCTCATTACAATTCAAGCTCCTTTCACAAACATTAAAACTTTTCAGCAACAGTTATCTTAATCATGTCTTTCAAATCCTGATACCGCTTCGGTGGGGCATGTGCTTTAGAAGCCTCATAGTCATGTTTCAGTTTTTCCAACTTGGCAAGTGCTTTCGAAAATTGATTAAGGTGGTGCTGTATGGCTCGCTGCTTCCTAGCATTGTCTCTCTGTAGTTCTGCTTCGGACATCACATCCTCATCTGAATAAAATGAATGTGTAGCATGAGATAAAAAAACGAACGGAATCAATAAAGTGAAGCATTGTGGGTTAAGCTGGTTATGCTTATTAATATAACAGCCTACAGCTCTGTGGCTTAGAGGGTAGTAAAAATGTTTAACAATTTCAAGATCCTCAAGTACAAGGGTTTCGATTTTCAAGGTGGATCACCATCATGTAGCAGGTCCTTTGCAGAACGTTGCTCTCATCACGGTCTGCCTGAAAGAAATTCAGTCTCTCGCCAGCTCTCCTACCTCAAGTACTTTCATACACAAGGAGTCACTTTTATCCTGTGCCCATCTTCGTATTGGTCAGCCCCTGCCCCTACTTCCTAGTACCGTGCCTTCTGCTATTATTTTGTCTAATCCACCACAGCGCTTGATATGACCAACATTTTTCAGTTTTTGAGACAAGCTGCTGTTTATTAGCCGATCTTCCTTGATGTTAAGATCTTTTAAAATGTCAGTATTTCTTTTCTTCTTTGTCCATGGAATTCTGAGAATCCATCAATAGCATTTCAGCTCAAAAGCCCCTATTTTCTTTCTTAAGGACTGGGAGATTGTAAAGGATTGTGGATGGTTTAAAAAATATGTTCCTGTTGTTTCAAACAGTGGTAGAAGAGTTGCACAGTGGAAGAGACAAGGACCATACCATGAACAAATCCCAAAGACAGCAGTAGTACACTGTTACAAACCTTCACTGTGGGGACTGCACATCAATTTTTAAGCAGAAGAATTTATAAACCTTTAAATTCCTTGAGCAGCAAAAAGTTTTGAAAAAAAAAAAAGGCTATGAATGAAGACGAATATTATGGACATCAGGAAAAAAGGCAGCTGTAATTTGGCAACAATTTAATTTAAAAAAAAAAATAAAAATACACACATAGACACACACAAATATGGGACATTGTGAAACATGTACGGCAAGAAATAAAGGTCGGCAATGAGAGACAATTGTTGATAGCATTTTATCAAGGTGTAGAAGTGTGGGTACATGAACTGCTACATGTTACTGCAGAATTCAAGTCCCCTATGCCAGTGGGCAGAAGGACTTGATGATGATAACATAAATAAATATTAACTCACACATTTTTTTTCAAAACTGTTCATAAAAATCCTGGACGTTAAGAGCTATAACCATTAAGCAGATAGGCAAGTTTGCTAGCCAACCCATTTAAAAACAATTTTTTTTTAAACTGGTGAAGAAATATATGAAGGGAAGTCATCAACAAAGCACAAATGGTGCAAAATATTAATTGAACACATCCCACTAGGCAGATCAAAACACTTTTTTATTTTATTGGGGCAAAACGATAGTTTAGAGCAAAAAATAACATCATGACTAGAAAATAAAAACGCATTCTCCCCCCCCCCCCCCCCCCCCCCCAAAAAAAATCCCTCAAACGTTATTTATTGGTAACATCAAATCCAGACCATCTAAAGACAATAAAATTGCAAACATACGCAAAGCCATTCAATGTGTGTAGCGGGGACTGGTCAAAGTAATAAGTTAGTGAAGTAAAGGACCCTTGCCATGCCTTCAAGCGTATTGGGCATGTAGGGCTAGATTTATTTTTTATAGTCCAGAAGGCACTTGGTGCAGACCAATCGGCACTTGGTGGGTGATGTGGTCAGCATCAAGCCAGCCGCCTTTACTTCCCAGGACTCCACCTGGTACCCATTCAAGGTTGGGTTGGTGTGGAAGCCAAGGTCATTTTTTAAAAAGTCTAGTACCATCATGACCTGAACCCACAACCTTCCGATCCACAGGCAAGCATCTACATGATACACCACGGTGACTCGAGGCCAAAATAAGAATGATAAAATATTGGCCTTTCAGGGATTTGTAACAGATGGAAATGCTGACAAAGCAGATTCTCGGAAAGGTGGGATAAGGTTACAATAATCAAACAAAATGATGAATAAAGTAAACATTACCTACCTGCAATTGGCTCATCACTGAAACCTGTCACATTCTTCAGTTTTTTCATAAAACTGGACAATTTTCCACCACTCTTTCCTGTAGCCTCAGCTTCCACTTGCTTGTTCTGTTCTTGGGCCTCTCCAGAAAATTCTTGGGCTCTGCCCAGCAAGCCTGACAGACTACCCTTTCCTGGCATGTGCAATATATGTTTATATTATGGTAACTTGAAGACCAACGTGTATGCACAAGATCAGTTCAACAACTCTCAAGCTATTTATTTCTCACTGTATGCAATACAATGATAACAATGAAACAATACAAGTGCAGTTCTACCACATATTTATCCACTAAAAAAAAGTAAAATATTTTTATTTTTTTTTAATTACAATTATCTTCTTTTTTTTTATTGGCTTGAAATAGTGTATCTATATCTGCAGTGTTGTCTCTAGTATGAACTTTACTGTCTGTTGTAATACAATCAGCGACCCATAAAGTTTGGCTTGCACCTGTGTTGCTCCTGGCCAAAAGTTTAGCTTGCACCGGTGTTTCTCCTGGCCAGAAGTTTTGCCTTGATACTGATAATTATGTAAAACTGATATGGGCTCTCTGAATGAGCCTGTGTTGTTTTTCATAGAAAAAAGATTTAACAAACAGCATGGTCTTTGGTGTGTAAATAGGTTTCCCTTTTATGGAGAGGGTGACAGCAACTTTCCATCTTTTCAGATGTTAGTGTTCCACTGTGCTATAGAGGCTCACATTAAGAAGAATTTTCAAGATTTCAGGACTCTTGTTGCCATCACATGTATCTGACATGCTCAGCTGTTAACCTTTCAGCCATTCTTTTTTCTTTTGTCCCTATTCCCTTCCCACCCCCTCCCCATCGACCCCTGTTCTATGGAGTGTGATCCATGAGAACCAGTTCCCATGAATGCACCTCAAAACCTGTATCATTCATGTCCCAACAGAGGCTTTCCTTATTACATAAATGAAATCTCTCTCAACAAAGTACATAATAAAGCAACAATAAAACACAGCTGCCTCTATCTCATATTGAAGCTAGCCAACACATGCCAAGCAATCCTATTTTTGATATTTTGCAGCTCACTGTCTGTCCTGAAGCAAGTAGATAAGTAAAGGACCTCTTTCCGCCTTTGGCGCACTGAGCATATGATGCTAGAATCATATTCTTATAGACAAATGGTCTGCAACCTTTTTCAGGCCATGCGCCCCCCACCTTTTCCCCCGTGTTATTATATTAATTAGACTATCAATGGTAGATATTTGAAGAAAAAAAATGTAATAAAAACTACTCTGTTATTTTATTTATTGATTATTTTTTTTTTTTTTTTAAACATGTTATTTTAAAAAAAAATACTCATGTAAATACAAATGATCTTGTCATTTTATTTAATAATTAGTTTTAAAAAATATATATTTTTTTTAATTTTAAAATTTAACTAACACAAACCTACCTACTGGTAGTACATACTGCACAATGGATTATTACAAATACAAAAGCACTCGCTTTTAACACTGCTTGATGCCTCTCTCCCCCAGGCTGGAGACAACTATTATAGACCAATCAGCAATCAGTGAGTAATGTTGTCAACACTCACGTCGGCCACCTCTCTCTATACTATTAATCTCTAGCTCTAATTTAGTTTCCTCTGTATTTTATGTATCCTTCTATTTCTTTTATTATGTGGGTTTCGCAGCATAGGACTCACCTGAGGTGCTACTAGAAGATGTGTCCTGCATAATTTGTTGAAGATTCCTAAATGTTTCATCACTGGTGGCTCCTTTAATCATATCTTTCAACTGGCCGTATCGTGAAATTGAAAAGGTTCCTTTTGAGGACTGATAGGTTTCCTCCAGTTTCTGTTTAAGAGCAAGCAAATAATCATGTCAGAAAATGTTTTCTTCTCCCAGCTTTTACCCACACCCCCCTCTCCCCCAATAGAGAATATGCCTTCAAGCAACTCAATCCAAACTGTCCTATCTTTTGCTATAGCATGCAGTTCATCCTTTGTCCTTCCCTTTTTTTTTTTCATGCACGTCACTCTCTAGTCCCTTTTCTTCATGTCTGCTTCTTCTTCTTCATGTTCACCAGCTGAAAACTCTGGTGGAAAGTTCTGGTTGTTCATCCACTTCTGGACTGCAGTCCTGTTCCAGAACGAGTGCTGCATGTGCATCCATTTTACAGATCTGACTCATTTGTATGCAGACTGCTGGTTCCTTGCCTCTAAGGCAGATGCACTCCGACTACGAAGGAAGCTCCCAATTAGTCGACTCTTACGACATGCTTTTGAGTAGGCAGTGGGTCTTTTCTTGTTTTCCCTATAATTGGACCCCAGAATACACACAGATGTGTATTTTGTCTCAATCTTGATTGTTTTGTTTTTTTTGGTGGTGCCTGTTGTTTTTATGAGATGAGATAATCAACCCCAAATACCAGGACCAACTTTTTGTTCTTGTTAACAGTGTTTTCTTCAAGTAAGTTTGTGTTAACGAGGGTTTACTGTATTTACTTCTAATGACTTAGAAAATTTCACAAAAGATAATAAACCTACTTGGAAAATAGCCTTGACATTCAGAAAATGACTGTCCAGTTCCTTTTCCCGTCTGACTAGTCTTGCATGTTCTTCCTTGAGTACATCAACTGACAGGCCTGACTTCTGGGAAGCTAACAAAACCAACCAAAGTTTCAAAAAGACTTTTCAGGATAACAACAAAACTGACCTTATGCTTCTATTACTAATTATAAACAGTAAAACACCAAATGGTGGTATCACTATCAAGTGGGCTGTGACCCAAATGCTTACTGTCTTTACAGCCTGTATTTACCACTTTAAGGATTGATTAGTAATGGACAGCTGGAGAAACTATGCAAGAGCTGATCAATGGAAACTTACAACAAGGTGACATCATCAAATATACAGATGGGTCTGTAGTGAGAGGTAAGAAGAGTGCGTGGGGTTTTACTGCAAAGGTGAATGGACGCTGTTTGAAAACAGTGTCTCACATAAAGCATCACTACATTTAATAAGAGAATCAAGGTGGAGGCTATGTTATGTTAACTTTCCAATGGCTTGTGTGCAGCACGGACCAACATGTATTTGTAACAGACTCACAGAGCATGCATCGTAAAAATTAAACTGGCATCCTGTGTGCAGTGGCTTGTATCACTTAACAGGTCTCAGATCAGTGGCATATCATGGATTTTCTGCCGAGGACATTTAAGTATGCGAGGTAACGAGCAGGCTGATAGATCAGCTGCTGCTTGCTGCTCTGGGCAGTGAGCTACTTTATGGACAGTGCAACAGAAAAGACAGTAGAGGTGTGAAGAGGTCCTGGAAAATATTTAACACTGAGGGGGAACATAGGTGGCAACTGGTACAATTAGCATGTCGACATATTGTTGGCTACTGAAGAAGGGGATGGAGCATATGTGTGAATGTCCCAAGTGCAGTCACATCAATCCTTGATTCACTCATTCATTCATTCACTTTTTCAAGGACTGAGTAAATAATTCTAGATCACAGCAGCTTGGTCTGAAAATCCATAAAGAAAAGACAAAGATAATGAGAATAAATCAGGCAAATAGTGATGTGGTTTCTCTTAATGGCACCCCACTCCAAGACGTGAAGTCTTACACCTCTTTAGGCAGTAATGTAGATAAGGATGGAGGAACTGATAGAGATATTAAAATAAGAATACAAAAGGCAAGAGGGGCTTTCATTGCACTAGGGAATTTGTGGAGGTCAAAAGAAATTAAAAGAAATACTAAACTAAAATTTTTTAATTCTAATGTCAAATCAGTACTATTGTATGGGGTGGAGACATGGAGAACAACCAAGGCAATTACTAATAAATTACAGATATTCATTAACTGGTGCCTGCGCAGAATAGAGGGAATTAAATCGTATGATAGAATAACTAATGTAGAACTTTGGGAGAGAACTAAACAGGCTCCAGTGGACAAAGAGGTGAGGAAAAGACGCTGGCCTTGGATAAGACACACATTGAGAAAACAGGAAAACAGCATAACTTGAATGTCTTTGCATTGGAACCCACAGGGGCATAGGATTAAAGGAAGGCCAAAAAACACATGGAGAAGAGAGCTGGAGAATAAAGTTAGAAAGATGGGGAGGACATGGGGAGAGCTCCATGCAATGGCGAAGGATAGAACAACTTAGCGTGAGTTGGTTGAGGGCCTATGCTCCATTGGGGGATAGAAAGGCAGAAGAAGAAAAAAGAAAGAAGAGGGGGAACATAGGTGGATTTCTAATCTAAGTGCAACTGGTACAATTAGCATGTCAACATTTTGTTGGCTACTAAAGAAGGGGATGGAGCATATGTGTGAATGTCCCAAGTGCAGTCACAACAATCCTTGATTCATTCATTCACTTTTTCAAGGACTGAGTAATTAATTCTCTTTACAAACTTAATCTATAATAGTTACCTATGTATAATATTATACCATGACTAATAAAAGTGTGTGGTGCACTTCAATGTAATATACATATATTTACATAGTATTTGTATACATAAGAAACTAATCCATTTATACAAACAATGGTGTATATGTTTAACAAATTTAAATCAAGTATTAAATACTGTTAGTAGGGTGTCTCACATTTTCATCAGTCATGGTATAAAACGGTAGATGATGTCTGTAAAAATAATTATTTAATCATATGTCATCATCAACTTATATGATACATTATTTTTGTCTTTCTAATGCATTAATAATGTGTGAATTTTTTTTTTTAATTAAAAAAAAAATGTCAAATATATTTCTTATTGTCTACTTTTTCGTCATTAAAACATGTTATCAGTCAAATTACTTGACTTCAGATTTATTGTTAGTCTTGCTGTATCTGATGTTACTGCACAAACAATCTGTTGAATGTTTTTTTTAAAAACTTGTATTGAGTGTTAGAATGCGTGTATTTACATAGTGTTGTTGTGTGTCAACTGTTTCCATTTGTGTTATTTAAAGAGCATTGCCGCTTGTAAGTGTAGAGTGGCATGTGCATTTATCTATAAGGTAAAACAAATAATCCCTGACAATATAACACAACTGGAAGATAATATAAAAAACTTAGACAAAGGATGTGTGTAAAGAAGGGCAAGGAAAGGCTTGTGTGCACAGGTAACAGTGAAGTAGGTGTTGGGACAAAGGTGTGTGACATTACAAGTAATGTAGATATAACATGCTCGTTTGCTTGGGAAACGGTTCCTCCGGTGACCCAGGAGATGAAAGAGAAACACATAAGGAAATCTTCTTCTTCTGTCTTTCTAGCCCTCAATGGAGCATAAGCCCCCAGATCAGGCCACTCATTCTATCCTTCACCATCACATGAAGCTCTCACCATATCCTCCCCATCTTTTTAACTTTACTCCCTAGCTTCCTTCTCCACATTTTTTGGGTCTTCCTTTATTTCTATGCCCCTGTGGGTTCCAGTGCAAAGACATTGCCTAAATTTAGAATATTCGTCCCTGCACTAGTCCATCTAGTTTCACATAATCCTATAAAGTTTCATTTGCCTTTCCACTGTTCCTCTTACATTGTACAAAGTTCTAAAATTCCAGGTGCCAATTCTAGAGGTTTTCCTAGGTGAAAGGAGGTATGTCGATGATCAGGACTCTTTTTGACTTTCTCCACACCATGTCCTACCTCTTCTACTAGAAGATCTTACCGTCATCATGACTGGCTGGGTTTTCTTGTTTCTCTTTTTCATTTTTCCCTGGTTGGTTGATTTTTGTGGCTATTGTTTTTACAGGATGAGGTAGCCAACTTCAAGCTCAACCCTACCCTTGGTCGCCTCTTACAACATGCAGTGTTGGTACTCTTTGCTTCCCGTGAGGGCCCCAGTGAAGCACAGGCGACATTAGATGTGGCCTCAATTAAGAAGGTGAACAAGTGAAAAACTGAAGAGGTCCCTGTCACACAATCTGGAAACCTGGTTATTGAACAAGACCAATACATAATGAAGATGGCTGTGTTGGTAAAAGGGGAGCTGATAAAAGGATATGCAGAGAAGGCATTTGAATTAGCTGGACAGGTTATATCTGTCACAGTTTGAAAGAAAAAGATGATTGTTTTTTGGTGTCATTTAAGATAATTAAAAGCTGAGAGTGATCCACATGATTTCCACTGGAAATATAACTTTCAATAAAACATAATATTTTTCACATAAAAATATATCATATAAAAAACTCACACAAATTTCAAAATGTTTGCAGTACACCGCACTGTCATCCACAAAGTACATTAACACAAAGTTGAGCATGGTAGCGGATCAGGAAACAGTTCAGAAGAAGAAGCAATGTTTGATGGTGAACTCATTGACTAATTTCCTTGTAAAAAGATTTATATATCTGTCTGTGCGCGCGTTGCGTGAGTGTGTATTCCTTAATGTCCATATAAATTTTTTCATGTAAACAAATTGTAATTTTTCAAAAAATTATATGTTATACTTTTGCAACACACTGTATTGTCATCAACAAAGTTTTTAGTGTGTGCGCAATTTGAGATAGATACCTTATTACTAAAGGTGTAAAAATTGACCCCAAATTTCTGCTTAGACAAACATATATACAAAACCTTACTTAATAAAAGCTTATGAAAAGGGTTGCTTCTTGTCAACTCACCTCTTCTATCACCATCTTTACCCATGTTTCTACAATTAAGATAGGTATGTATGCACTCTATGCTTGAAACAGACTTCCAGTCATCAGTCTGCAACCTAGTAAAGAAATGGGTCAAACCTTGATTAGTGACAAAATATCAATCCAAATTAGGGAACTCATCATGAACTTGCTCGCATGACAAGCTAATTTTCCTCCCATTCATGCCCCGGCAGGTCGCATGGTCTGTCTTATGTTGGGGGGGGGGGGGGGGGGGGTGTGGGGGGGGGGGGGGGTTGTTATGAGATGGCTTCATTCTGGGCTCGCTGCAACATAAGACAGGCTGTGCGATCTGCTGCAGCATGAATAGGAGGGAAAGGAGCTCTCTCTGTGTGGGTAAATTAGAAGTAGAACTAGTTAGCTTCCCATTATCTCAATCACAAATGGTAAAATAAATATTGTGGCTAGAAAGCCTTCATCAGCAAACAACAAAAATAGACAATGAAACAAGAATATACAAAACCATTTGCCTGTGTGACTAGGGATGTCACAGGTGTATGGCTCTACATCTTGAAGAAACATTAAAGTAAACAACATTAATATTTGCCTACTTTATTCTCCTTATCTTTGTCATTCCATTATGAATATTTTTACCCACTTGTTCTGATCTCGGATCAACTATATTTAATTTGTATCTTGCATCTGATTCCATGAGTGGGACAGAAGAGAAAAATCATATAAAAAGTCAGGATCATCAAGCTGTTTTGTAGGGGTCCACTGAATTCCATTCTTGGTGTTAGTGCTAGCTGTCTTTTTAATCCAGTCTGCCAGAAGAAATAGGAGAGGTGACAAAAGACATCCCTGTCGCAAACCTGTTTTTATTTCAAAGGTATCTGTTAGTTTTCCGTCATGAAGAACTCAATATTCATTTTATGTCTATATATGTTGCTTTTACTAATTTTATAATTTTCTGTGGGATCTTATAGTACCCCATCAGTTTCCAGAGAGATTCCCTATCAATGCTGATAAAAGCTTTCTTAGTCTATGAATTCAATGGTGAATTAAATGCAATGCTTAACTCTATTATTAAATATAATGTGGCTACAACTGCTGCAGAATTATTTTACATTAATACAACTTTTGCACAACTATTCTGCAATGATAGAATTTCTGTACAATTATTTTACACTAATGCAACTTTTGCACAACTAGTTTACAAAAATTCAACTGTTGCACAACTTTTTACAACAATACAAATTTTGCACAACTGTTCCTCACCAATAAAACGGCTGCACAACTATTTTACACTAATATAACCACACAACAACTATTTTAAACTATCGAACAGGACATTACCAAAATATCAACCTTTAATGTTTCACTGAAGTATTGATTAAGCTACCAAACATCAGAGCAAAAATCATTACCTAATTGATTTAACTTTAACTTCTTTAGCTACAATAAAACAAGTTTTTTTAAAATAAACCCAATTGATTGGCTCTCTATCTTGCTTACTCTAAAATCTCTGCATTATTGAATAATTGTGAAAGCAGAGATTTGGCATTGAATTTAAACAACTGTTCTACAACCTATGTGATTTATTTATTTATGTTATATTTTAATGTACTTTGAACCAGCTGTTATTAAAATATGTTTGCATATTACAAAAGGCAAAAAGCACTGTTTACACGTCACCATGGCATACTGGTAGGTTTTTTTTCTAGTGGTACGTAATGGTATACAGTACCGGCATCATTTTTAGGCATCATTGTTTTTCAGCCCCGATGTAACTGACACTCTGCAGTTAGTATTAGCATATTTTTTTTAAGATACTATGTGACGAGTACCGGCACCACTGTTTCTAACAAAAACAACAAATGTTGCATATTGTTAACTAAATCCATCATTTACGCAACCAAAACATACTCAAGGAGTATATGGACAGTATCCCACTGCTCTCTTTACTAACTAGATGTCCCATACTACCCATTTTCTTAGAATTTAAATGCTTTAATGATTTTTGATTTCTTGTGCTGGGCACTTTGCTTCCTAGATGTATGCTAGCCAATTTACTATCCTACACATATACTGGCCACTGTCATTTCTAGACATACGGTGGTCATAAATAATACATTGCACAATTTATTGCCTGGCATATTTTGCTGTATGTCGCTAGGTGGATTACCATAGAGTTGACATCAAGATATAATGACAAACCCCAAAAAAAAAATCTTTTTCACATAAATCACAGTCTTCTCTAGTTACGATGCACACCTAGTTAAATTAATCAAGTAACAGAAAGTGTATTGATCGGCACTCATAGAAAGAAGTAGATAGATAGAAGAACACACTAGACAACATAAAAATCAAAAGCTATAGTTACCGTGCTGGGAATTGAACCTGTCATCTCCAGACGGCGTCTGCGCGTCACCATGAATACAAGTGCGCTAAGAACATGGTCATCTAGGCACCCCCATAGCTTTCGATTTCGATAGCTGTCTCAGACTCAATGAATATGCTTCAGAAGATAGCAACAGGCAGTATGCACTCAGAATGGATAGAAAGCATTCGGAAATCGCACTTAACCTCCGTAACCTGGATCTACACACCGGGTCATGCGGGCATAAAGGGAAATGAGCGAGCAGACCAACTGGCAAGCACTGCACTAATGATTGCGGGAAAAAGTATGGACAGAGCAGATATAGTCAACGCTGTACGAACTGGGCTAGTGGAGAATGAGGAATCCCTGACACTAACACGATTGCGTGACATGGGAGTTAAGCATGGTGATGCACGTCTTTGCCGTCTTCGAGGCCGAGAAAGGAGACAATATAACCAGCTTCTTATGGGGACAATTAGTAGAAGTACTTTGGAGTGGCTGCTGCTTCAGAGAACTGAGCACGCATGGGTATGCCCAATGTGCAGTGACATCAATTGTGATAACAAAACATAAAATAACATCTTGTAGGGAATCGGCAGTCCGAACCCCAAGTTCAAGGTGTCTCCTTCGTGCCAAAGAACTGCATGGCTGTTGGGTGAACAGTCGTTATCGATGGCAGGCAGGTCGTTGTAGGGGCGACGCCTGCTGGTGGATGCAATGTCCTAAGTCCCTTCCCCAGCTAATTTTGAGAGTACTGCTGGGGTGATCGTTTATTAACCCTCATATAATGCTTCCGGTCAAAATGGACGCTAAGCATGGCCACCTTTTTTTTAAGCCGTGGCAAATGTTTTTTTTTATTCTGCCAGATGGTGGCCGTTGCATTTTTGCTCCATTTGTAGACTAAAAGGATGTAGTTTCGTCGCCCAGCTTCTGAGTTGAGTGCATGGCGTGACACTGTGAGCTGCGTTTGTTTTTCGTTAGCACAGGAGCGGAGCAACTGTGGGGTGACCCGTTTGCTATGAAGCTGAAACTAGGATTACCAGATTACCAGATCTGTTGTTTGACACTGTCTTCATTGGCTCAGGCATCAGCGATTTCATTTTTTTCTTCATTCCACAGTAAGATGGGATCCAAAGCATGTGAATTTTTCAGCTTTTTTTTTTCTACATCTCAGGGAGTTCCTTTTTTTTTTTTCTTTAAGGCTTTGCAGGATATTGTCAGCAGATTTGGAATCTAGGGCATGTATAGCTCATTGTGAGTCACTGAGGAAGACCATCTTGTCTGCAGGTGTTTGCAGCATATTCATGCACTGTGCCACCATCAGTAGAGCTGAGAGTTCTGCCTTGTAGCTGGAACAAGTTCATCCAGTAGAGACTGCCAGGGACACAGTTGTGGCATATAAGAGTTTAATGTAAACACCTGCTTCATTGCTTGTTCTTGCCTCCTTTGCTGAGCCAAACCTTCCATGTAGCAGGCACTTTTATAGTATGCTGCTCTGTTATCTACCAAGCTTTCCTGCTTTGTGAACTTTCATGCCTAAGTTGTCACTGACATCCTGCTTTGTGAACTTTCAAGCCCAGGTTGTCAATGATATCCTGTTTTGTGAACATTGATGCCCAGGTTGTCACTGATATCCGGTGTCCACCTTCCTGCTGGTTGACGGAGGTATTTTCCTAATTTATAATCATTTTAGCATATATATTAGTTGATATCTCTAAAGTTTGCTCTTTTCTCTTCTTCTTCACTTCGTCTTTTACCACTTTGGGTGTTTAAGGAGATATAATTTTCTGCTTCTTGCTATTCTGGTTGCCTCAACCATAGACATGTTGTCCTACTGTAGAGCTTCTCTGATGTTATCTTCCCATCTTGTTCTTGATCTACCTTGTGATATGGGTGCTACTCTATTTTAGTGTATGCCATTTATAGGAGGCATCACAAGACATTCTCTCTAAGTGGGCAAACCATTTGATTTGCTGTCTTTGTATGTAGTTTAGAATTGGTTCTGCCTCTTATGACCTCATTCCTAATTCTACCTCTTATGGTCACTTCTGCAGACCTTCTCAGACATCTCATTTCCATTAAATGTTACAATATGTTTATGTCTTAAAAGCAGATTAAAATTCAATGTAACTTTCTAAAAAAAAAGGCAATGTTATTTATGTGATTATAGGAATATAATAAAATGATTCAATGTGTGTATGTACAACATGAGTTGGGGGGAGACTGACTCAATAACCAGGACAAAACTGGTTCATGCTACCAAGTTAGGGTAATACAGAGTAAGCAACATTATCTTTTTAGTCAGTATATAAATTAAACTATGTATTCCTGTTTTACCCCATGAGTACAATAAACTCCAAGTGCCTCTGCTATATAATCACAAAGTGAAGTTCAATTATATTCAACTCTGAGTAACGTAAATACGGCCATCATTTAAACTACTGCATTTAATTGGATGGCCGAGATATGGGACAGCCATATAAAACATTGCCATGTGCTGTAAATCAATTAGCTTATTACTGGTCCCAGATGTCGGCCAGCAGCAAAAGCATGTAACAGACGTATTTTATGTTGCAAAAATTGTGCATACAGTACTGCAGTGCAATTCATCCGTCCATTCTTTCATTTCTAAAATTGTTTACTTTAGTTTGCTATTATCACAATCGTTC